GTAATCCGTTATCGCTTTTGTCACAATGCCGCCCGCCTATTTCACAAAATACGGATTACTGGTACAATAGTAATAATAATAATAATAACAATTATAATAATAATTATTATTATTATTATAATACCTACTGCCTACCTATTAAAAATTTAAAAAATATAATACAATTAATAAAAATTCTTGACAGCCTTCTCGAAGACCATATGTTCAAAATACCATCTAATGATGGTAATTAATGATTAATGGTTTATAAATTGAATTCTAAATGAATGATAAACTAATATAATTTTCTTCAATTCAATGAATCGGATTTCTGAGGCCAGCATATTCAGTATATAATATAGTATATTATACGAATTCTGTCTTGATTGTAAACTGTTCAATCGTTGATTTTTAAACCCAGGTGCACTTAACTTACACCTAGTTTTTCACAAAAAACGCCAGTCTTTAACAATTTTCTAAAAGAATGACAAAAATCACGTATAGGAATTGATAAAATCAACAAATTATATAAATCTCAACTGTCTACAGTTATTCGTTATTGAATTACAACAAAATAACAAAATCGATACATAAAAAATCGAATGAATATCCAATGTTGTAAACATTTGAACTTCAAACGCTCATAAAAATTTGATTTGACTTTCTTATAGACTTTTTTAATTGATAGAGGTAGATAGCTTTATACGGAATCTTTTACTATATTTTAAAATCTTAGACTTCAAAAGAAAAATTTTTAGGGATTTTTAACTCAAAATAATTTGCAAACTATTGTAATTTTTACGCCTTTTGTCAAAATTCGAAGTTTAAATGCTTATAAAAAAAATTGTGATTTTTAATATTTTACTAATGCCATTGTAACAATATATTAAGAGCCTTGCATTATATTTTAAAGTTTTTTTACCCAACAAATAAAATTATTTTAACATTAATAAAAAAAAAACTAAAAAATTGGAAACTGGAAATGTTCCTAAACAATTCAAAACAAATAAAAATATTTTGAAAATATTATCGTGTATAGAAAATGCGAATATAAACAACCAGTGAAAGTTACACCTAAAACCAAAACCGATTTGGTCGAAAAACGATTTTGATTAAAATTCCCGTTTTTCCTTAATTTTTATGTTCCTTTTCCCGGTGCTTAATTATTGAGAATTTCACCTCATATTTGCAATAACTGGATTCACTTTCCCATCGAACAAGATACTGTTTAAAAAAATCGATGCAGTTTTACTGCCACAAACGGTGGTGACATACAAGGAAATAAAAAATTTAAAAAATTTAAAAATTTAAATAAAAAACACACATCATTGTAAAATCAAAATTTTCATCGCTCCACTCAGAATCTAAAAAAGTTGAGCTAAGTCCACAATAATTTTTTACGACTGTCTGAAGTTAGAATTTTTTTTATAAGTAGTTAATATTGTCACCTAAATCTCTAAAAATATATTCACACAGTTCTTTTTGTAGACATTTTAAATTCAAATTTGAACAAAATTAGATATTTACCTAAACAAAAAATAACGTTTTTAGTTATTTTTTTGTAATTTAAAAATATTATTAGTTAGTACCTACATAAAACTTTTAAGGGGCCTGCACGCGACCTGTTTTTTTGCTCAAAAACATGCCTTACAGGAAAAACTCTCACGCCTCGTAGATTGGTCCGATTTCCGTAATTTTTTTTTTGTTAGATAGAGGAAGACTTCTTACAGGGCGCATTGGACTTGGATTTTCAACATTATTTTTCTAAGTCTTATGTTACAAGTTTGAATTTAATCAATTTTTACAACTTTTTAGTTTTTGTATTATTTTTTGTTTTTAGCGACGTAATCAAAAATCGAAGTCCAATGCGCCCTGTAAAAAATATTCCTCTATCTAACAAAAAAAAATTTGACGAGTGGAGTGGTTCGGGGTTACCCCGCGAAATGTTTGTCCACTTCACCGCTCGTCTAAACTTTAAATACTTATAACTCATAAACTACTCAACCCAAATTCGATTTTCATGTATCAAAATACTAAGAAAAATATTCTACTTTGGAATATAAAATTAAAACCCTATGTTGTCATTCAAAAACGTAAAAAACTTAAAAAATTATAAGGATAAAAAATAATTAAAAATATAATTTTTTAATAAAAACGTTGTTTTATAAGCGACTTGAAACTATGTAAAAAAATATCTTCAAAAAAATTTACACTTTTTGAAATAATGAGTGTTGTTTGAAAAAGAATCACTCAGTATATGTCACATCCACATCGCGTTATTGTACATTTCACGAAATGGACAACGTTTGCATCCATTTCGCGAAATGGAACTGTGGTTTCTCCACTTCACGTAATTACAAAATGAGTTTTATAAAAAACTCGATTTAAATTATAATGATAAACCTGGCAAAAAACTACACATCATCGACGAAATAAATTCCAAATTAATCATATCACATTATTACAATATCCATTAGGTACTTATAACACGTTATACATCAACATCAATAACAAACCCTGATACTATCATAGATATATAATAGTACACTTTAGAAATTTCAAGTAGGTACCCACGAATAATATTATATAATCACAACAGAATAACTAAGTTTTTTAATATGTAATTTCGTCCAAATTTGAACATAAAATGACTATAAAAATAAACTGTGATTGTATATTTTTTAGATTTTTCGGTAAGAGAATTAACTACTTACGTGGAATCTTGTTTTAAATTTTCAATCCTTAGATATAAAAACTGAACATTTTATAATTTATTAATTACGATGATTAATAATTTTCGAGATTTTGAAAAATTCTGTCAAAATTCGATGTATAAATGCTTATAAAAAAAATTGTGCCTATGTATTTTTAATATTTTTCAACTGATATTGTAACAATATATCAGGAGCCTTGTATTAAATTTTTACACTTTTTGGCCCAACAGATAAAACTTTATTGATATTCATAGAAAAAAAAACTAAAAAAATTGAAAAATGAAAATATCCGTAAACAGCTCAAAAAGAGTCAAAATATTTTCAAAATAGTATGATGTATTATAGGAAATGCTAATATAAACATTCAGTGAAATTTTCATGTATCTATAGTTATTCGTTTATGAGTAACAACAAAATAAGGAAATCGCTACATTAGAAATCGAGTGAACATCCAATGTTGTAAAAATTTGAATTTCAAACGCTCATAAAAATTTAATTTGACTGTCCGGTAGAGATTTTTTTATTGATAAATGTAAACAAACTTATAAGGAATCTTGTATTACATTTTAAAATCTTAGATTTAAAAAGAAAAATTTTTACGAATTCTTAACTCAAAATAATTTGCTAATTTTCGTGATTTTTCCATATTTTGTCAATTTTTGAACTTTAAATGCTTATAAAAAAAAACTGTGACTAACGATTTTTAATATTTTTCATCGGTCTTTGAAACAATATAGTAGGAGCCTTGTATTAAATTTTCAAGTATTTCTACTCAACAATAAAAAAAAATTTATTGATATTTTTAGAAAAAAAACTAAAAAAAAATGAAAAATGAAAATGTCCCTAAACAGTTCAAAATAAATCAAAATATTTTGAAAATGTTATCGTGTAGGTATAGAAAATGCGAATATAAACAACCAGTGTAAATTTCATGTATATACTGTCATTTGTTTTAATGTTACACCAAAAACCAAATTCAATTTTCTGAAAAATCGATTTTGCGTAAAATTTCCCGTTTTTCCTTAATTTTTCTTTTGTTTTTCTTGGCGGTTTTGAAAAGTACTAGGAATTTTAAATTTTGACCTCCCCAATGCACCAACGATATTCACTTTCCAATCGAACAAGATACTGAAGTCGAAAATCGAAGCATTATTTCGACTACTTATAGTGTACACAGACACAAAAAAAATAAAAAAACACACATCATTGTAAAATCAATACATTCATCGCTTTACTCAGAATCTAAAACATATCTGTTAGTATTTCACTTTTGTGATCATTACAATTCCATGTTAGAAATGAAATATTATTCTGCAACAAATCATTCTGTGTAATATAGACGTGGTACAATAATTATTAGTTCTATAAAATACCGTAGATGGCGCGACAGGCTCGTAATTTTAGTCACGTGACTTTTCAATGACATTCCAGCTCGGTGTAATGCGTTGTTTAGTATAGGCCGTTCCGCAACCATATTATCTATAGCCGTGTTACTCAGTAGTCAGTGATCAGACATTTTATGTAAAATAAAAATGATTTATTTTTAAGTTTTGAATATTAATCATCTTGGAGTTGAACAATAAATTATACTGTTTAGTTTTTTAATATATTTTCATAGTAAGTTCCTACATAACCTAATGCAGAACTCTTTGGTACTCGACACCTCGACAGTTCCTCATTCAGTTTTTTGCTCTCCGGTTCTCAAGTAATCCGAAGCGAAGCTACGCCCTTCCGCCTCCGTCGCTCGTAAGTATGATAACATTATTTATCATCATGGTTTAAAATTCAGATTATTTATTATTTTGTTTTAAGGTGTGTATAAATTAGGTATACCATAGACATTTTAGGTTACTAAAACCTTTACCTTAATATCCGCAAGCCAAGCTGTTTACCATGATTCCTGTTAGTAAATTTCGTGAAGAATTGAAGGTAACTAAATTTTTATTAGAAACTAATTATATAAATACTTAGTGTTGTATTTTTATGTTTTAGAATATCCTTATAGAACCAAATACTACAACAATTACTTCTATTAAAAAAATTGTACATGAGAACAATCATTTCAATCTTAGGTAAATTAATTAGAGAATATAATATAGAATACATTTAACAATGTTTATTATCATTGTCAAGAAAAAAACATTTTTTTCAAATATACTTAATGTAAATTACCTATTTACATTGATAAAGTGTTATTATTGTTTAATTGGTGATGCAGAAAAACGTCCAATATTAGATCAAGTGTTAAGATGCCATGTGTTAGACATAGTATTATCAAAACCATCAAATTTATATGATGTTTGTAAGATGTGGACATCATTCACAATTGAACTTGTACGAAATGAAATGTGTACTGCTGTAATGCCAGTAGCTATATTGTCAGATATGTTTGATGTGAATACTATGGATGTTTGTGAAAAAATGTTTGATCATGTGGAATCCAATGTAAATGTTCTTAAAGAGCCTAAATTTTTTATGGCATGCAAGAACAATTTACTACGAATGTGCAATGGTGATATTTAATTAAAATTTTTTTTTTTAATATGTTGTGACCAATTCCGAAATACCTATTTAGAAAATATAACTTATTTTCAACAGAACTGCTTATATAAACTGTGAAGGGGACAATATTTTGGTTAATGAAAAAAAGTTATTTGTTATAAAATTTAAAAAAATATTATCTTTACTGTATTAATATACACAATAATTAAATGGAAAAATATGTGATATTAAAATATTCTTAGTCAGAAAACAAGACATTTTTAAAGAATAAGTTACATGTATCAATATGTTTATGATTTATGAATGTACCATTTCAATATATAAAAACAGTCTGCTAAAATATGGAAAAATAGGGCCAAATAATTTAGATAAATAATCAAGTATTGAAATATTTAATACCACATTCAGTGTTTTTAATTTTAAAATGTATGACTAGTGTATGCTAATATTATTCACACAATTTGAAAAATCTAATAATCATTTGAATATTGAGTATGAATAAAGAAAGCATCACATAGCCATATGCATTTATAATATAATATCTAATAAATATTTGTTGTTATATAATATCTAATAAGTATTTAATTTAAAACTAATTTAGCATAAATATTTTACCTTATCAGTTAGACCCCTCCCCCTAATCAGTATTAATTTTTTATTTCTTAACGTTTTCCTGTCATTGTCATCAAAAACTTATTTATATCTTTTATTATATTTAACAATTGTAAATAATTGAATTAATACAGATAAACAGAAAAACAGTAATTGAATACATTTTTTTGGACACTACCTTATATTTTATATTTCTATTGTAAAAATATTTCAAAAATACTAATATTAATATTCCTATTTTATTTTAGATATTTTACGTCGTTCATCTAGAATACGACATACAGTCTTTTGTGGGCGTATATTATTATTTTTGGCAATATTTTTTCCTTTTTCTGAACGCTCAGGTTAGACAATTTTTAATACTTAAACTTATTATAATAATACATTTTTTTTTTTTTTACAAAATTATAGGTCTAAACCTTATAAGTGAATTTAATTTAGAGAATGCAACTGAATATTTGAAAGAAAATCATTTTGATCAAACTGAATACAAGCCAGATTCAATTGCTGAAGAAGAAGCTAAATCGGATATTATAATTGAAAAGTATGATTTTTAGCTTTTTATATTGTTAAATAAAATGTCGTGCTTAGAAAATTTTACATGCAGTAATTTAATAAGTAATAATTAATGTATATTATATATATTTATAAGCTTAACACAATTTAAATTGAGGTGAATTCTGTGTAGTAAAAAAAAAATATCTAACTTCTTATCATTTTTACAGAGTAAATGTCGATAAAAATTTTTATTTAAAATTTTGGTCATTGCAAGATTACTTTAGGAATCCTAATCAATGTTACAAAACAGAACATTGGAAATTGTTTATCTCTGTAAGTTACCTTAATTTTGAATAATCTTATCACTAACATAGTGATATGACTATTGCAAAGGACCCACTATGTATAAATAATTATACTTTTTTTGATTTAGCATACAGATTTCATAATTTCGAGTTTTCAAAGTCATAAGTTGGAACATGTTAACAGAATGGATAATGAAAGTGCTGAACAAAATATGCATTACTTTCCAAAATATTTGACAAATCAAAAATTATTAAAATTGCAATTAAGTGATGTAAATTTTAGGCGTTACATTCTTATACAATTTTTATTGCTTTTCCAGTATTTGGAAGCTCCTGTTAAATTTAAACTGTTAGTATAAAAGTTATGAAAATATAAGTAAATCTAACTATTTGTATTAAGTAAGTTACAAATTTACTTGTGATTTTAGAGATGATTTCAAGATTAAACCAGAACAACAAGAATGGATTAAAAATTCTATTACTACTATTTATGAAATTATTAATAATACACCACCTGATGGTGTTAAATTCTCTGAAGTAGTAAAGAATATATTACAGGTAATACAATAACCATTTTATATCTGTTATTCTAATTTGAATAATCTCTTGGAAAATATTCAATATTTTTATGTATATTTTATACTAGAGAGAAGAACAATGGAATAAATGGAAAAACGATGGTTGTCCAGATGTAACAAAAAGATTACCTACAAGTGATCAAAGTGATATGCCCGCGCCCAAAAGAAGAAATTTAGGGGATGTTATAAAAAATATGACTGCTAATAACAAAGTTTTTCTTGGAGAGTAAGTCATTATAACATTTTTATTTATAATTAATTAATTGTATGCTTTAAGTATCTGAAATTAAATTTAATGTTTAGCCCTGATTTAACCATGCTATGGAATTTAAAGCCAGATAATTTAGAAGCTTGCAAAGGACCTGAACGAGATTTCTTACCATCATTTGATTCATTTTTCCAGGAAGCATTTGAGCAATTGGATCCAGAATTTAGTATTGAAAGTCAAAACAAGTAATTCAATAATTAACTAATTATAATGTACCTATGTACAAGTATAATACATACTATTTTAATTTTTACTAACATTTTGTTAAATTAAACACGTTTGACATATTAATTTCTTAATTTTTGATTTTACTTTGTAATTGATGAATAATTTAAAGTATAATTTATATTAAGTCTATTTATCTTTTATTTCAGAAAAGTAAATGATGGAAACTTTGGATGGAAAGCACTAAGACTATTAGCTCATAAAAGTCCACATTTTTTTGCCAATAATGATGATCCTATTAAAAAAATACCTGAATATTTAGAAAATATGATCAAAAAAACAATGAGCAAAGAAATAATAGTAAGTATAAAGTATAATATTTATTTAATGTTTATTTATTTAATGCATAGATAATATTTTAATTATTAACATGTTCACTGTGAATCATTTGAGTATAAATGGTCGTGTTTGCTAAAAACTGTATGTTTAAAAAACAATCATAAAAATTGAAAAATTAATATATCATTATACGACTTGCATGTATTTTTGAAATAATTTTTATATGAGTCACTAACAAAAAACACAAAGGTTCATTGTGATATTGATCAAATTGTAGAGCATTCAATAACAAGGTTCATGACACCAATTTATGCCATTCGACATAACATGCAAATAATGTAAAATGACTCCATTTGGTGTCATCCGCAGTGAATGTGTTAACTAAGAAATAGCCTGAATAATAAAATAGGATTTTAAATTCAATAACTTTAATACCTCAATATTTTTTTAGTCCATCAAACAAGGGCCAGATAAGTATATTTCACCACATAATGAATTTAAAAAAGAATCTGTAATTGGATCAGACAAAGTTGATATCTCTGAAGAAATTCAAGATGAGAATGAAAACAAAAATAATACAGAAGTGGACAATAAAAATAAGATTCCTAAACAGATAATTGATCAAATTGCAGCTGGAATAGGAGAAAAATGGAATATACTTGCTGAAAAACTTGGTTAACAGCCAGATAAGGTAACATTGTAAACACGTTTAATTATATATATGGTTTCTTAAAAGTATTAAGACTAAGCTTTTTAATCATAAATTTCACTAATTTTCGTATTCAATGGAAATTATAATTTATAATATTTGCTTTAATGCATATGACGTGGATCATGGGTGTTGGGTATCAGAGTAGGTACTATAGTATTGTACGTTTTGTTAAAAGTTACTGTCAATCTACGGTAATTAAATGTGCTTCCTTTTGTATTCATTGCCGTTGATGTATTTTTTTCCTAAAATAGTTGGTTAAGCCAAAACTAATGCGATATATCTAGTACTAAAATATTGTTTAATCTTAATAAATATTTTTTTAGATTGAGTTTGTGAAAACAATAAAAACTACACCTTTAGATCAAGCCACATATTTACTTGAAGTGTGGGTTGAAGATGCAGAAAATCACAAGTCTGAAAACCTTATATATATTCTAGAAGAAATGCAATTAATTGAAGCAGCAAATATCCTTAAGTCTTAACATACAATTTAAATCTTATAATATTGTATACTGAATATTTAGTACATTCAAAATAATTTTGTATTTAAAAGACTTATACAAATTATTTTGTTTTATTTTTTTTTTAATCTATTTTTCATATAAAAAAATAATACTAAGTTAAGCACCAAAACAAAATTTTCACTGCTTGTATAACTGTATAAGAATTTTGAAGTAAAAATAAAAGAACCAAAATCAAATTTCCAATGTTTGTCTAATGACTGTTGCTATTTTAAATTTTTGATACTGAATTATAGTTAAACAGTATTTTTTAATAATCATATTATATCGGTGAATTTATATCACGGACCACGCATTAAGATGACAACTGTTTGAAATTGATGACCTGAGAGCAACAATAAAATATCTCCAATTAATACAATTTTTCACGAGGCACTTAAAAATGTTTAAAAAATTAAAAAATATATTTAGAACCAACTTCAATTTGGATAAGTAGTAGCCAGTGAAATATTGTTAACATCAAATTTGTATGATCTCAAAACAAAAAATAAAACTTGGAGATATCTTGTTGTTGCACTAGAAAAAATTACTTATGCTGAATTAATTATGTTAGTGCAACAACACTAAAATAAATTTGTTGCACTAAAATAAAAACCAGACATTGCCATATGATATGTCTATATTTAACAGTCTTATTTGTCTAGTTGTTGTACCAAATTACAGATTTTTTTTTCTTGAAAATGTATTATTAGGCAATCAAAAACTCATGTTAGCCAAAATGTAGAGATGTCTTGTTGTTACCCATAAGGTCTTTAATTCATCTTCAAATGCAGATATAAAGTCCATTTCAAAGACTATATCTTACTTCGCTACAAGGGGATTAAATCCAAAACTAATGATTTTAACATTTAAACAACTTCAATACACAAGTACTATTCATAATCAATGTTAATACATAGAAAATAATTTTGATACCAATAAGCAACAGCAGCATAATTTTTATATTTTTAGGAAGCTAAAAAAATAAAATGTAACTTTTAATTATAATAAACAAAATTTAACATAGGGGAGAGTGGGGCAGATTTGAATGCGGGGTACATTTGAATTTGTCTAATATAATTTGTTACAGATTATTTACATTCATAAAAATAATAATCTAAGTTGGTGACAATATTTTGTATACCATATGTGATTATCAGGCATTTTTGAATAATTTTGTGATAAATAAAAATGATAATGTGATTTTCCGGCTTTTTTAAAAAAAAAATAGGTGTTTCCATAAGAACATTTTGGAAACTAAAATTCAAAATAATAAGCTTAGAATTAAATATACCTATTCAAAATATTGTTGCCTAGTAATACATTTAATGTACATACATTATTTATAATTATTAAAATTTATATTACGATTATTATTGATTATTTTGGCATGGGGTAGATTTGAATCTTCATCAATAGGGTAGATAATAGGGTGTAATAAAGGTTCCTCCTTTTTGAAATATCTATCTTATGGATGGAATATACTAGTTAACTGGATTTATGTCACAAGATGTGGATTTATCTATAAGAAAACTCAAAAATACTACATTTTCACAATAAAAAAAAATTGACAAGAAAATATCTAAACATAATTATAAAAAATTGGTATTATATTATATTGAGCTATTTTTATTATTAAAATAAATAAAAAGTTTAATTTAATTTAATATTTAACATTCAAATGTGGCTTTTAAGACACATATTCAAATCTACCCCCTGCACGTTCAAATGTACCCCATGGGTGGGGTACATTTGAATAAAAATATACTTCACTTCATAATTAGAAATTAAATTGGTTATTTAATATATAAGGTTGTTATAAGTCAAATAGTGTTCACAACTATCTAGACTACAGATTGTAATTATCAAATATAAAATTTGTCAAAAAATTAAAAATTAAAAAAATAAAATGTAAATTTCATTCAAATCTGCCCCACTCTCCCCTACCTATTCAGGTTAATCTATAATCTATTTACTACTTTTTTTTTGTGGTATCAAGTGCCAGAGAGGAAACTGCATTTGCATTACTTCTCCTCTGGATCCAATCGTTTATTGAAATAAACAAAACAAAACAAGTAAGTTTACAACAATCTATATAGAACCTACCATTATATTGGATATAAAATTTAAATGGAGAAATATTAGATAATATTATATTAAAAAATTAAACACAACATGGATGAACAATTATAATATTTTAGATACCAAGGTATCATGGAAACATGTATAGTAGATTTATAATAATAAACAACAATTTGTCTCAATAAAATAAAAACAACATATTAATACTTTAGAATTTAATTTTGAAATTTTTATTTTGCAATTTTTTTATATTTCAGATTTATTTTTTATGTGTTTTTGGATTACTTTTTTTGATTTTGTTAATGATTTAAATATTAATAAGTACAACTGTCATTTTTATATTATGATATCATGGTTTCGGGTGTATGAGGTACTAATAATAAGGTTAATCGTCGTTTAGTACCTATTTAATGTTAAGTTTTAGAATTTTAAATAGAAGATTTTGTATTGGTTCTATAACTGTAACTGTGTTTCTTGTATAGTGTTATCTGAAGTTATTTTTCTAATAGAAAAAAAATTAAAAAAATAAACATTGAAGGGTGTTTAGTAGCAAATTGAATATAGTTTTTTTAAAAGATGAACTTTTAACAGATTTCAATGAAAAATAAATTAATTTGGTGGTCTGTCCAGTGCACTTATGACTGCGGGAGCAGGGGTGGTGTCATTAAGTTTTTCAAATATTATTATGTATTTTTATATAGGACGTATATTTTCTAAATATACCTAATAATATATTGAAGTATAAAGCAAAGGACCTATTGTTACAAAAAAAAAACTATTATTTACTGTTATGAATAAACATGCTGAATAACAACTGTAATTAAATTAGACAAAAAACTTTTTATTGATTGTTCACAAAAAAAACAAAAATTGCTGGAATAAATATAATAATATGTTTTATCATAAATTGTAAAATTGTAAATATGTGTGTATTATGACTACCGACAATGAGACTATTAGGTATAAATGCTAATATTAGATATAAAATGACGTGGTAGCTTATTAACGACTACTCTACTAAAAACACAGAGGTAAATGTTACTTATTGACAATGTTTCCATGGACCAAGTCATCATAGCCACAAATAATATTTCTATTTTCTATCTATGCGGGTGACTTTGGAAGTTCGATGCAACAGTAGGTAAGGCTAGGTTCACACGAAGAGCGTTAAACGCGAGTCATAAATCATAATACGAACGAACCTAGCCTAATATGATACTAACAATTTGGCGCTTTTAATAGTACTTATGTCTATTGTTTTTTTCTAAACACTACATATTTATAGTCGTTGGACATCAGTGCCTATATACCTATATCTATTAGTATATACAGTTTAGATACATTTGACAATATGACATTTGATTACAATTTAGTAGGCGTTAGTCATATAAAAACATTGGATCAAGGAAGTTTTCTTCTGAGTTCACAATGTCTAATACCTAGCTTTAGCACGCTGATATTATAGTAGCATTTAATATGTATATGATAATAATACCTATGAATCTTTTATATTAGATAGGTATTACAGATATTACATTTAAATGATTAGATTTAGCTAGTATATACTTGTAGGTATATTCAATATTTTTAGTAAATTAGTATTTATAAAGTATATTATTTAGTTATTATTTAGTAATATACCTAAATGGATAAATACAGCATAATAATTAGGGGACCAAATTAAAGAACCAAACTCGAGCTATGATCTAATAACAAGAGAACAATTTAAGCAATTTCAAATTATTATTATTTCAAAACTCTTTTGAATTTTCATTTAAAAACCCTCAAAACCTTGAAAGCAATACTGACTGATAAATGAATGTGTCGAGAAATAAACCCCAACAGCAGGCTGTACTTTTTTCCTTTTGGCTTCTCAAACCACAGCCCCGCCATGGAGGTGCCGGCCTGTTCATTGCCAGTATTTCCACCCGCTGCCGTTACACTGTTGCGCACCGGTGCGCCGAATATTGCAAACCGGTTCATCACGTCGTTATTCCAGTCCGCCAGTGTCGTCTTAGCCATTCGACGACAGTCAGCCGCCGTTCTATCGCTACCGTCGTGACAGATAAGATTGTTATTGACGACTGACGTTTACATCGTATTATTTTTCTGGTGTGAAGATACATAGTTTGTACAATTTTATTCAAGCTCGACCGACTTGATGATGCCCTTTTAAATTTGTTCAACACATGGATAATTCGGAAATTGTCACTTTTATTGGTATGTCTTTTGAGCAAGGCTGGGCAAGTTAACGATTTCTTTAGCTCAGTTAATATATATCCATAACACAACGTTAAAACACGTTCATACTCAGCCTCTCTTTTAAACTTATTATTGTGCCTACCTACATAAATAAATATAAATTGAAAACTTTTAAGGTTACCTTTCTAAAAGACTACAGAAAATGTCTGAAGTTTATGAATCAACATGTAATCGCCAAGTTATGAAAGAACCACAATTCGAACCACCACCGAGACATAATGTTGGTCAAGCTTTACCAGTAGTTGCAGAATGCTGTATCTCTTTTCGATCTCCAAGAATGGAAATGGCAGATTTAGCACCTGTAAGCAACACCGGATAAGGTAAATTATATACAGTAGTCACTCGATAATTTGAACCTTGATGATTCGAAAAACTCCATAAATTTAACTAAACTCTGAGTAGTCTGAGTCCCCTTAGAAAACCTCTATAGTAATAAGATAATACATGTAGTCCTCGATAATTTGAAATGTCTGTTCGTGGGACACACAATTCAAATTTTTTCCACAAACCTCTATAATTCAAATTTCCTTAACACGTTCGCTGCGTATTATATTGTAGTAGCACTTGCCGCGGTGCGCACTCAATCTTCAAAATAAAATTTACAACGACGCCATTTGGCGTTGTTAGCACTATTGAATAATTTTTACATCATAATATGCTGAATGACGCCAATTGGCGATAACTATTTTTATTATACAAATGTTCAAATAAGCAATTAATTCAAATTAATAAACAGACTTATATTATTATTTAGTTAAAAAAAAATAAAAAAAAACTTATCTTTTATAATTATTTTTAAATTACCAAAAAAAAACTTATCTTTTATAATTATTTTTAAATAAACAAAAAACAACTTATGTATTAGAATGAAATTTTGCAAAACATGGTTTTAGACAAATAACAAATACTTGGGTGATTTGGACAAGTTGGACAAAAATATGAAGTATCTTTCCGTATTTTATTCTTTGCGCAAACACAACATCTTTTACGAAGTGCCCTTCCATTTTTTCCTACCTCGTGTGTTTTTGGAATATGTTTTCTTTTAGCATCTAGTCTTGGTTTTGGAAATGCTGGTAAAAGTTCACTAAGAATAGACAAACGAAAATCATAGAGTGTCATCTTAGATCCGACTTGTGATTGATTGTACAAATTATAAGAATTTAACAATAGCATTTGGATCACATGTATTCCTATCTTCTTGTACCAACGAATGGTTTTTCTCAAACATGGATAGTAACTGTTCATTTGGTCCTGCCGATCAATACCTACCACTCATAAATTTATTATAATTTGCAATCGGCTCTGGTTTTAGTTTTTCCTGACCCTTTTTATTTCTTGCAAGTATCAAATTATTTTTGAATTCGGTAGAAATATACATAACATCCCGTTTGTCCTTCCATTTACCAACCAGTACGCCATTAGAGTACATTGCTTTTGTTTCCCCAGGGTTTAATTTAGATTTTACTACAGCCTCAGGAATACGTTTTCGGTTAGATCTCAATGTGCCCGTACAGTATGTCTTTTTTTGTAATAATTGTTCAGCTAAATCAATGCTATTATACAAATTGTCCATGTAGACTGAATGACCATTATTCAATTTTTCCGACATAAGGTGTAGTACTACGTTTGCAGCATGACCTTTACCTCCTAGATCATCTAAAATACCGGTATATACAGCAAATTTTACAATAAGTCCATTTGGTTCGGTAAGCATGTACAATTTAACACCATATTTATGGCGTTTATTTTGTATATACTGTCGAAAAATAAGGCGACCTCTCCACAATACCATTGATTTATCGAGTGAAAGCTCTTTATTTGGGTAATAAATATCATTCATTTTGTTATTGAAATAATTTATAAGAGGGCGAGTTTTGAAAAGTCTATCAGTAGGAATATTTTCAGATTGGTCAGTAGGATTCTGGGCAAAATGAAAACATCTCAAAAGTAATAGAAAACGATCGCGACTCATATAATTTGAAAAACATGTAAAATTGAATAAATGATGTTTTTTCCAGTAATCGTTCAGTTGATTTAGTTTGATTGTGCCAGTGTGAATAACTAAAGAAATAAAAGTTATAATTTCATCGCGGTCCGTAGGTTTCCATTGAGATATACAAGAACTCTCTGCAGCTCCAACTCGTAAAAATTCAGACTCGGCATAGTTATTTGTTTCTCTAACTATAAATTCAAAAAAATCCTCATCAAACAACATGAAAAAAAATCTATAGGTTTTCCGTTTTCAGGTATTGGAACGAGTAATCCTGGTTGTTTATCATACGTAAAATTAAAAAAATCAATTTCATTTGTTGTCCAAGTGTCATTAGTGTTATTAGTTGTTATTGTATTGGGTAATTCGATATTTGGTTCAGTTGCCATTTCATTTTCAATATCCGAAGTCGACGAAGAATCGGAATCACTTTCACCCAAATAATCACTGCCAGAATTAGAATAATCAATATTTTCGTCATCAGATTCAAAAAGAAGTCTTTCAATTTCTTTTTGAGTAGAACGGAGATCAATATTACAAAGTCTTTTGGGTCGAGACGAACCAGCATTATCAGAACTATCCATACTTCAGTAAAAGAGCAGTATAAAATAAACAATGAAAACTTCAATTTATACACGTCAACTCGATTTATATTTACGTAGTTGCCTAGCTATCGTATAATTATACAGATAAAACTTCTTACTTTATTGGTACACGTCCACATTGGCTGAATGACCAAAGAGAAATAAACTTAATATGAATTTACTCATATGCATACGATCGATAGGATAATAATAGTACAATATGTCTATATCAGCATAAAAAATAATTGTGCTATGACGATTATGGGTCGTCATCGGCTGAGTGTGTCTGATAATAATAAAATAACATGATATAAGTAGGTAATAAGGAATATTATTGAATCGTTCGTAAATAGAAAACAAATGGTTATTTTTAGAAACGGTTTTCAAAATTATGTTAAAAAAATGTTGTAGATAACGCTGACAAAAAATTAGTGCATAGGTTCTAACGCTGACCAGAATATAAGCACATAATAATCGGTGTATCAGATGACGCCAATTGGCATCGACCGCACATGGAGCGTGACACTACTGACGCCAATTGCCGTTGTACGCAGCGAACGTGTTAAACGCGACTATATGTAAATTCATATGTTTGTACATATTATGTACAAAGATTATGTGCAAACTATTTGACGTACTCGTAATGAAACTAATCATGTGGTAAAATATTATTGTAGTTTGTAAATGTTATCGTACCTTACCTACCTAATGTAAACATTAATATATATGTATGATAAATAAATGTCAAAAAAAAAAATTAATACAATTATACATACAATTTTTCACCTCTCTTTAATTCAAATTAATTTGTTTTCCCTCGATTATTCAAACACTCGGTAAATCGAAAACCTCTATAAATCGAATTTTTAACTTGGCCCCCTGAATTTTGAATTATCGAGTGACTACTACTGTACTTATGGAATAATATTATTGATGTAAACTTAAGTTTATATTTTTTCTTAGGTATCCCTCCAGCTACGATACACGATACTATTCTTCATAATATAGATGAACTATCACATACAAGAAATATTGATTTTTAAGCAGTAGAATGCTGAAGCTCTTTTCGATCTCTGTTAATGGAAATAGCAGATTTAGTACCTATAGGCTAACACGAAACTTGTAAATGTTATAATCATATAATATTTGTATGGACATAAGCTAAAGTTTATTTTTTTTTTTTAGACACAGCCAGACTCAACAAACTAGAAGAGACTGAATGGAAATGGCAGATTTAATGCTTATCTGCAACAACAAATCTGGTAAATTATTTTTTAATATAATATTGTCATGGACATAAGCTAAAGTTTTTTTTTTTTTTTTTAGACACAAGGCCAATTATGAGGCAATAAACCAGAACAGACAAAATGGAAATGACAGGTTTAAGAGGGTTCAGGAAATCATTTCCGAATCAACCTTATGACGATGTACATGGAGCATAATATTTCACGTTGTTGCAGCAAGTTATCCCAAACAACCTACTGAAACCGAGAATTCAAAATGGGAATGTACATTTATATTACTATAGAAATGTACGTATTGCAAAGATCAATTTGGCTTAATGTTAGTATTACTTTAAAGTTAATTTATTTTGTTATGTTATTTTTTTTTTGTTTTAATTAAATTGCTAAATTTAATTTTAAAAGTATAATATATTTATGCACAGTTTAGAAAGTTAACTTTTGGTAGAATTTTTTATGATGTTTTATGAATTATTCTGTCAAAACTATATGTTTTAAAAATATATATTCAAAATTAGTTATAAAATATTTTCCTTTATTATAATATGCATGTACTCTAACAAATTTCAATTTATTTTTATCGTATCTTATAAATTATGTGGAATTATTCTTTTACAAAATAAATAATCAATTTGGAATTAACTTATACACGGTTTATACATATCTATACTCAAATACTCAATCCGATTATTTAGAAATATTATAATATAATAAATCCATGCTGCATATTATATTATTATGTATTATGACAATGATTTTAGATTAAGAATTTGATGTTTTTGTCTATTTTGCTATTATATTGGGAATTAAAATGACTAACATTATACTTTGGTTAAATAACACATTGTTTATACTCTTCAAAATAAAATAAAATTATTAATGTCAAACGAATAGGTAATAGAATAAGAAATCCAAACAATCAAATAAATAAAAAGAAACCAACTC